CTTTAGTCTGCTCGAAATTTCATTTTTTTTTTAAGAGTAAAAATACATCTTAGTCACTAAGCTTGATAAATTACAGTTGAATTCTATGGTTTTGATATACTAATTTATGATTTTTTTGGTTATTCAACTGTATATATAAAACCTAAAAAAAAAATATTTTGTTTCATAACCTCCACATGCAAAAGTTTTAAAGACTTATCAACCTACATCAAGCAGCAACCAAGTGCAAAGGTCATAACTAGAATAGATAATTGTTTGCTTTACTTCTTTATTTACTGTTCTATGTTTTAGGAAAAATAAGTTTAAGAACTTATTTGAAAATAGCAATAATATATATATACATATATAATGTATAATAATAGAATTGTGACTGTATTTTACAAAATACTAGTCGACTAAAAAAACAGCCAAGACAAGTTACTTTGTAAAGATCAAATGTCAGTTTTATTTTATTTGATGCGATAACATGAGTGCAAGTGAGCCAGGTGTGGGTGAAAGATCAATATAATAAATATATATAAATGTATAATGTTATGAGATTTAAGCTATTTCGTCTAAACATTTATGTTTTCATGTTATAATTTATGTTTATTTCCTAATTTTTTATGGTGGTTGTGAGATCGTTCAAATCTACCAAACCTGTACAGAGATTAATTACTGAATAAAACAGATTAAGTATAAAGATTTTTCTTAAGAAATGTTTCATAACTACTTGGACATTATTAATATTTCGCATGTGAAATTTCACAATTTTCTGATGCATAAAAGTATTTTTAATCTTCAAATGAAAATTACTTTGCATGATAGATAGGCAAGATGTGAAAAGAAAAAAAAAGGCATGAGACAAACACTGCTTTACAAACCTTATGACCTCATAACAAAATTAAATGTTTTGCATATGAAAGTATTGTAATATTTACTGATAATCTGCCAAATTTTTTAACATATGCTTACTAATTTAAAAGTTATAGCATGAAAACTATAACAAGCATGAAATGCTTATGAGGTCATAACACTGACCGACCCCATATTAAAAGAGTTAAGTAATGGACATTATAGAAATAAAAAATTGCAATTTCCATGTAAGTGACAGTTAATGTGTGATTACTCTTCAAACATTGTCAATGGTTTCTGTTGACAAGATAAAAAAAATTTGACAAACTTTCAAATGTTTAGAATTGTCTTCAAATTTCTGGCTAGTGAAAAAGCATTTGAACATAGGCTTGAATATGAATATATTACTGGAAATGGCATTTTCCATTTATTTTAAGACCAAATACAGCTTAAAAAATGAAGTTACATTAATAATACAAAGTGTTTCACGCCGTTAACACGGTACGTTAAAAGTCAACTTTCTGTAATTATCAAAAACTTTTGTGGTTCCAAGTGTAAAGATCAAAAATATTCTGTTAAAATGGTCTTCATTTACATAACTATTTAGTAAAGAGAATTTCAAAATGTTGATGTCAGTTAAGGCATTTTGGAATAGACATCAAACATTTTATAACTATTGTTATAGTTTGCTATTATGCAGTCTGTTTTATTTCAAAAGAAAATTGCTTGTTAATGTCAAACTCAAATTTAGTTTTGATAATTAAATGTTTTAAAATTATTTTGTTGACTAGCAAAAAGCCAGAAAAGTGTGAAATTATTATGTAAAGTATTAACAATTTTAATTGTGTCTTGCTGCAACAAAGCTTATTGTAGAACTAAGGCACAAAACATTTAATAAACAATAGCAAATTATTGTATTTTGACCTCAAGTCTGATTAATGTTGACTTTATCTTCAGTATGATTTGTTCCCAAGTATCAAAAAGGAATTTGTTTTTAGAACTTTTGATTAAAACTACATATTACACAAAGTATTCATTGTGAAAAAACAAAAACTGTATACAAAAATCAATTATTATTTCTAGTATTCATGATCAATCGTCAGATGAAATGAACGTTGAAGAAGTAACTGCCTTTTTGGGAAGTTTGGAGAGGCATTTCCATACTATTTTTGGCATTGACTTAGCTGTAAGTGTTCCAAAATGTTTCATATCTATTGAAAATTTTCTTCATATTGTACTGAAATTGTATAAATAGTAACAAGTTTATTATTCATGTAAAATGTTGGTTTTTCTTGTTGGAATTCTCACTGTAAACCAGATAAGTGGTTAGAGTAAAGAACTGGATATATGTTAGATGTTTAATTATGTAAAAAGTTGTATTATGTGTATGAGTTTGCAATATATATTTTGTTATATTTCATAACACCATTTCTGCAGTGATTTTTCTACTTATTCTACAAAACTTTTTCCGATCTATTTTGGAAGTGATTTTTGATAATTAAGGATATATTAAATTTGTATAAATATATAAATTTTAAAAAATATATTAACCACCCTAAAGCTCTGGTTAAGTTAAACATGGTTCATCATTTATTTCTATTTTCAAATTCAAATAATACACTTAATTCTTTAATTACAAATAATTGTTTAATTTATATTCTGTAAATTAAATATCTAGGTATTTCTGCATTTTGTTTTAACTTGAATTCGGTGCTTGTTTTATCAGATGTTTTTGTTGATGTATATCTTATTAATTTTTCTGAATATGTTTCTAACGAAATGTATCATTACACTTTTATCTTTTAAAGCATCTTTGTTTGAAAGAGATAGCAACACCTCCAGCAGCAGCACATACTTCTGGAAAATTAAAAGTAAGTATTTAATAATAATTCGTAAAGTATATAGTTGTTTTATTATAACATTGAAGAATTGTTTTCCATCAGAGGGAGTAAACATACTACTGTATCTGATGTTACACTTTATTTTTACCCATAACTAGTCTTATCATTTATACACTATACCTTGAAATGTTAAGTAATTAGATATATCAGAAATAATTTTTGATACTTCATTTATTACTGATAAATATACAAATAAAATAGCTTGAAATCCATCAAGAAATTAAATAGATATGTGTATTTCTACTCTTCACACAAGGATATTTATCTCAAGTTTTTGATATGATATCTTACCTCCTTTCACAAAGTAGCTTTTCTCCACTAGCACTGCCTTGTATTGACGCAAATTTTCAATGCATGCCAATAGCCTTTCACCTCCTGCTTCTGCATATCCACATGCAAATGATCATGTAGCAGCTCTCCACCAACGGGAACGTGACACCACTCCTATTGTAATCAGCACTCTCTTCGCATCTGCACTTCTCAATTGGCAGTAGTACTGTACAAACATGCTGGTTCTTGCTTGCATATTTCTCAAAGTTTTCCATTATACTACTGACTTAGTTTTTCTTTATTATTTATTTCAATTTTTGCAATTTGGTATTGTAAAATGTTTTTTTTTTTTCAAACTGTTCCTACTTTTTCAGGGCCTTTTGCTAGTGTATTGTGGATCCCACTCTCTAGCAAGTGGTGCCTAACCAGTTATACTTTTATTTTTAAGTCCATTCTGTGACTGTGCTCGATGCCAATTATGTTGTAACCCTTCCTACCACAAACCTGATGTATAATTTCAGATGCCGCCAGGTATTGGTAGTGTGTCTTCATTTTATTGTTATCTATGAATAAAAAATTATGTCACTGGATTGGGTTATGCACACAGTAGAGATGGGGTGTTCCGTAGGACTGCTAGTAGCTCTCTCTAGTGGTTTTTTGCTTCATAAATATTTTCGTCCCGG